CGTGGTGTACCGTTTGAATTCCCCACTATATTACTTAGACTACTGAGCTCGCCTCGTCGAGCAGGTGGTCGTACGAACAAGATGAATTCAAATACTTACTCAAATAACAATTATAAATCAAACGAAAGGGCTTTGGCCGATCTATTGGGTCAGTTGGTGAGGGGTAGAAACAACTCGCCACCTGGCTACAGTAGAGGGAGATTAGGAGGTAGTGGCGGCGTTGGCGGACCCATAAATAATTATGGAGGTCCATCTATGGGACCGAATGGTGGTGGAAGTGGCGGTGGTGGGGGTTTAGGCTCTTGGGGCGTAAATGCACCGAATGATTGGAATCAAGGTGGCAGTAGTGGTAGTGGTGGTTACGGAAATAGTGGACGTGGAGGTGGTGGCGGTGGCTACGGAAATAGTGGGAGTGGTGGTAGTGTTAGTGGCAATATGATGTCATTAATGCAACGTGGTGGGGGTGATGGTGGTGGCTTTGGTGGTATGCCACAAGGAGGTGGCATGAACGATGGCTACGGTGGCATGCCACAAGGCGGTGGTATGAACAACAATTTTGGTGGCATGCAACAGGGCAGCAATTATATGGGTATGTCCGGAGGTAATCAAGGTGGTTTCGGTGGGATGTCATCAAATAGGGGAATGAACAATGGTGGTTTTGGCGGCGGCGGTGGTGGGGGTAGTAGCTTTCCACAAAATAATAATTTTGGTGGGGATGGGTTTGATAATTGTCCGCCACCTCCATCTGGTCGCTCACGTGGCACGTGGGTTAGTGGAGCTGCTAATCGTAGTAACCGCAATGTGACGTCGCAATCATTGCGCAATTCAAGCCGCTCATCGAGTTCAACGCATGACAGACGAAACTTAGGTGGTTCGAAAACGTCACTTTCATCGAAAGGTAGTCGCAGCGGTGGTGCCTCAACTTCAGGTAATGCTTCAAAACCTGTACAGGCACTGAAACGTAAAGCGCCACCAAATTCCGCTCCGCCTGCAAAATTAAGTACCAATGCAAATAATGATAAACGAAAATCCGCTCAAGCAAATCAAACAACCGCTCAAGCAAATAAACCATCCGCTGAAGCAAATAAAACATCCGCTGTCGGTCCTAGAACGGTGCTGACATCAACTGGTGGTCGTTGGTACCAACATTTCGTATCAAAAGGCATGAAACCAAACGATGCCAAAAAGAAGGCTTTAGAAAATAACAATAAGCCATTTACGGCAGGAGCTGAAAGGGCGGCAGCGGCAAAAAGGGTCAGAAGACCATTCCCCCCACCCGCGGATACGTATATACGACTTGCGATTTTCGCAAAGGGTTTTCCCGAAGTTATATTGGAAATCGATGATCTATCAGCCCTCGAAGAACGGATCGTCGATGAGGTTGCCAATAGTAGCACCGAATCAAAATTGCAATTTGAAAGGTTACTTCGGAAACCGGGCATGATGGTTGTTGATTGCGCAAATCAGAAAACCGCAGATTGGCTGATAGACACTATTCCCAAATTGAATTGGGAAAGTACTGAATTGGCAATTTGTTATGAAGAAGACATTCCAGACGCATACATAATGACCCTCTCGTTGCCAAGAAGTGCTGGCCAAGATTACGATCAGACGTTGTCTTTAATTCAGTCACAAAATACCGATTTGACCACCGATTCATGGGAATGGGTACAGGAGCGTGAAGATGGTGATAGATCAATTCTTACCATCCGTGTTGATAAGGAATCACACGCTGCAATTAAAGAAAAGAAGTGGAAAATATTTTACAAATTCGGTTTAGTAGAAGTAAATTTTGCCCGCTATATACGCTTTGCTATAAGTAAACGCTCGAATGAAGAAGGTGGCGTCGAGAAAGCTAAGGTTAAAGAAGAAAAGTCAGTTAGTGGAGACGATAAAGAAACAAAAGCGGAAAGGACTAACGAAAAGCAACCTTCTCCGCCACCCGCTCCAATAATCAGCAAATGAATTTAAAATGTAAGGAATTTTAAAATCATAATATTTATTGTTCTAATTTTTGCTAAAGCTGTATGTTTTTTATTTTGTTTTGTTTAGGTATGCGGTATCTGCATCTAATATATAACACTCTCCTTAGTTCAAGTCAAAAAATCCTTTCGAAACAATTGACCATGTTCGACAGATTTGATAATGGGTAAGTTTTATTTTTTCTTGAGTATAATAATAATCCTTTAGAAAGTTTAACTGGTTGTGTTGAGTAAAAAATGGTGTTAGGTTATAAAAAGCGATTAATTTAACAAATCATTTAGCGGAGTTAGGCGCATTTTTAGAATCAGTTATGTGCCAACTAAAATGAAATAAAAAAGGTAGCCAAATGATTATTATTCATAAGCGTACTTTACGTTAGTTATATTAAGTTTATCACGAAGGTTATAACTTTCAGGTGGAAACGTCGGAGGATTAAAAAAACACATAAATTAGCAGCGTAGTAGGTTTAGTCATGTCAATTTCTCTATAAACTCGCACTTAGTTTTTGAGATATCGGTCGGAAATTTTGCACACGTTCTTTCTCCTTAAGAAGCTACTCAATTTCCGAAAGCGCCAACCAGAACCAAGTTTGTGTATGGATAACTTTTTCATTTGAAGATACGAGTATATGTCATATAGTCCAAAACAACTGTATAATCTCTGCAGAAATTGTTCATTTGTTCATATATAGTATATGGCTGCCTTACAAACTGGTCGATCAGAATCGAATTCTTGAATGGAATCTTTTGTATTAGTGGTGAATTTGTGTGTGTCCCTACAACAACAACATTTGAAAATAAACAAATCCAAAAACTCCAATATATCAATTACTACGATTCCTAGCGAAATATATTTTCACAATTTTTCCCATTTTGTACATAAAATATATAAATTTTTGGAAAGGATAATTATTCGTGGATTATTACATTTTGAAAAAATATTCTGAACTTTTGTAGTGCTTTTAGTTTTGTACATAATAATTATTTTATTTCTTATTATACTGCAATATACAGTTCGTAATTCATATATTGCCCAAATTTAACTCATTTTATTTTTTATTATACATCTTTCAGTTGGATGCTTGAAAGTGGCCGTTGGCGATATACAAAGCTAACTTCTTCAACAAATAATAGTAAGAAACTTCCTTTATCAATCGAATTCATAACGGATACTCATACAGGAAAATCGTGCCGTACATTAAAAGTATAACATACGGCGATGACTGAATCCTGTTGTCCGTGTGTAACGTCAATTGTTTTGGAAATGCTAGATCAAGTAAATATTTTCTAATTTATTTCAATTCTCAAATACATAAAAATTGTAAGATTTATTTATGTAAAGCTGCTTGGCCAGCCCTTGATACATTATGAAAAGTTGTATTACCGTCAGCATCAATAAAATTCTACTAGATGGCGATTTGAATGAGCCCCTCTTAAAATAGTCTTTGTTATTTTCAGAAAAAAAATGTGTACATCAAAAAGAGATCAGGGAAACATTGCTAGCAATAAGTAAATGTAGAAGATAAACTAACATTGATTAGAATAATGTTTTTGTTAGCTGAGTTATAAAGTTCAGAAATAATTATTTATAACTTTAAGCATGTTGATATTGCTTGAAAGTTTATTAAAATATATCAGCATTAGGATTGAAGGTGGGGGTTAATATTTGTTATTGTATGTAGTAGCGTAGGAGTTTTCCCCCGCGATGGCAGGCACCTTGTCGTGGTGCGGGGGCTTAGTCGAATCATTAATCAGACCTTATTAGCGGATGGCAGTGTACACATTTGAGTACCAGTGCTTGGTGTTTGCACTCCATTCCCCTGACTCGGGCTGCTTTTTGAACGATGACCAAGTTCTGCCAATACCCCCTAATCCAGGGTGTAAAGCGACACCGTGCCCATTGGATGGTTTGCAGCCAGGGGGTTTACCAAACCGGCTGTATTTGAACGGCGCCTTCCTGACACCGGGCCGCCTCAGGGAGTAACTGTGGCCTTACCGCGGCATGGGGCGCTGTCGTGGTGTACCGTTTGAATTCCCCACTATATTACTTAGACTACTGAGCTCGCCTCGTCGAGCAGGTGGTCGTACGAACAAGATGAAGTCAACTAACAATTATACAAATTACAATTCAAATCAACAAGTATTAACTCAGTTAATAGGTCAATTGATGAGAGGTGGCGACTCATCAAATGGCTATAGAGGAAGAAGTGGAGGTGGTGGGTCCAGACAAAGACGCGTCATCAGACGAACAGCCACAAGAATAAGACGTCGACCAGGAATTAGAACGCATGCCAGTGCATCAACGCGACGACCACTGTCTACTAAGCCATCAAGTAGCGGAACGAGTACGAAGAAAACTTCGTCAACAAGTGCAACACCAAAGCGAAGTGCCACAGAAAGTAATGCTGAACCTGACAAGAAAAAAACCACTTTGGACGACAAAACCAAAAGCGGTGACACTAAGGAAAGCAAAGCAAAAGCAAACGATCCTATTTTGAAGGGGTTGTGCGAATCGGGGGTGCGATGGTATATGCGATATATAAAAGAAGGTTTAGAACCAAAAGTGGCATGCAAAAAAGCTTGGGAACACCGTACAGAACCGGTGGAATATGAACCTCAATGGGGAAAAGAGTTCCAACCGAGAGAAGTCGAAGACGAGCCCAGATACCGACAGCGGATACGAAGAAGGGTAGCAAAAAGTGTTGAGATCAACGAGGATTACCGTATTGCGGTACATCCCAAAGATTTCCCAGATCAAATGCTGGACTTGGATTCGGTAATAGCACTGGAAGAGGCCATTGCGACGGAAATAGCTAAAGGAGCCAGTGGAAAACTGCAATTCTCCAATGCCCATATGCGACCAGGTGCATTACTCTGTGATTGCGTAAATGAGGAAACCGTTAATTGGCTAAAAGATATCGTCGCCAAGCTATCTGAATGGGAGGGTCCCGAGCTGACGACAAGCCAAGAACGTGTTATTCCAGATGCTTATGTGATGACAGCGGCTTTACCGAAGAGCACTGAGCAAGATTTCCAACGCACATTGGCCTTGATTGCTGCGCAAAACGAAGATTTAAATACCGAAGTATGGAAATTAGTGAATGAACGTACAGAGGATGGAAAGAATGTGGTGACGATACGTGTAGATAAGGATTCCTTCAATACAATGAAGCGACATGAATGGAAGCTTTATTATCGATTTGAAAAAGTCAACGTACATTTCCATCGCTACTTAAGGTATAGCGAAAAGCCTACTTTATGGATAACGAACCCTAGTTGCCACAAACAAAATCAGGTGAAACCACCTGGTCCATCAAATGCAGTATAAAATAAAATAGACCAAAAAAAGAAAAAAAAAACGGTAAGTGGAGCACACGAACCCCAGTTGCGAATTTTTACAAATGTGATACTGAAGATCTCTTCTTCCTTTTTAGTTCCAAAATCTTCCCTCGTCCAATAAAGTGATGTCTTTGTCTTCCCACTTGCAACATCTCCAAAATCCTAAGTGAATAGAAGTTTGAGCGGAATGAAAATACTTTTATAACCAAGAAATGAGGTGAGCATTAAAATGGCAGAACTGCTCTTTATAGACATCTTAGCTGTTGTTTATCTGCTTAATAGCTTTTAGTGAATTTAACCAGGTCTCGAAAAGTGCTCTTATTGGTTTCAATTTACTTTTATTTTTTGTTTGGATGGCAGCTCTTTGGATTATTTTCCAAAGAAGCAACATAATCTCCAAAGAAATTATTCAGATGACAGATTCAGATTATTAACCCAACACAAAAACAAAATTTCCAAGCTATCATCACAACTTAACAAATAATTCCAGTTTTTAAATTAAGTATCGGATGTTTGAGCGTAACGTGAACAAGAAATTGTTTAAAATTGTTTTTTTTTTATCACTTTGTTCTCGGAAAAATATTGAATTTTTTCCTACTGTTTGCCGCTCACAGATATAAGTTATTTTTAGATATATGTTTATGTCACGGTTGTACTAAATAGTCTAGAAATTAAAATAATATAAATCTTTCGGATGTGTTTTGGCTTGCTTTTAATTACGTTAACGGAATTAAATCGCTCATAACTTGCTCTGCCAGCTCTTAATTCTGGTTAAACTTCTAGGTGGACATATTTAATTTAAAGCGAAAAAAATAAATTTAAAATCGTTTTGTTGCTCTAAACTTTAAGATAACCACTAAATATTCACTAAGTAAGAATGCTCATAAATTTATAAATTGACATATGTACACTTGTGCTCACATAATTAAGTCACGCCAGTAACAGAACGAAAGTTTATTCGAAGCAACTTCTATGGTACAGGAATGAAACTTAATTTTGCAAAAAATGGAAGAAATTTTAATTCAGTTCAAAACAGAATACTTATTTTTTATTTAACTTCTAAAATAATAAAATATTTTTTTTTAGTAATGGTACTTATATATAGGTTCAGTTCATTCCATCTCCATAGCTGACATTCTAGGTCGAGTCTTGGCACATCTTACAACTATTGGTGTAAAATTCTCGGAAAGAATCCATATTGCGCCCCTTTTTTCGTCTTTTTTGTTTTTTATAAATAATTGCATTGTGAGTCGTTGTGGCTTAACACCCTACAATTCTTTCCACTCCCTTGTAGGATTTACCGTTGTTTATGAGAAATTGAATCCATTTTCGTTTCTCTTCACTGCAGTGCTTCCCGCGGCCCATTAAAATATGCACAGTCATATTTTTTAGCTTTTTTCATTGAATAATTAATAAAATAACAAGAAACTTACTTTTTGATTGATAAAATTAAATATTTTTTAGTAAAAATAATTTGTGCAATCAGCTCACCGTTCACTACTATTTTAATGCTCGCTCATAAAGACAGATATCACAATATAATTAGCTGTAAAAAAGTAACGGTAAGTGTTTTACACTTATTGTTGTGTATAACAGGACCCTTACACTACAGAGAATATAACTAGAATAATAATCAACTTCAATACCATAAAAGAAACAAAATTTAAAGCGAAACTATTTTTGTCAATAGCCACTACTATTTCAATGCTCGCAACTGTACGTCCTACGTATGAATGCAGATCTAAATGCTACATACAAGTTTTGATTTGTTCTTATATGCTAATTTGACCGCTAATTGGTAATGTATTTTACTTTGACTTGCCGCGTATATCAACGTCTGAATATGGTATGCTTTTATATTATTGTAGATATGATAGATAGACTGTATTGTAATTTTTCGTGCTTTTATCATCTATGCTAATTTGTCAAATTTGTCAAATATACGTGCAGATGTATATACATATGTATGTTAATACTTTTAAATATTTAATCTGGACGACTTTTTATAGTCTCTAAACATATACATATATATAATCTCTATAAACTCTTTTATTAAAATTTTTTTGTGCGCTCATCAAATTTCTAGTGCCGAAACGTTCAGAATGTTGGAAGGGGCCTCGGTGGTAATTGTTTATCGTGTTTTGAGTTGGCGGGAATAATAGGGACACCCACTGTAAATTTGTTTAAATGTAAAATTTTGATTCAAAACCTCAAAAGATTTTTTTGTTTTAATGTATACATTCATGATAAATAAATAAATAATAATCTTGGTTTTGTAACCTGAGAATGATGAGAAGAGAATTAAAATATGGGTTGCGGAGTGCATTGTAACATTTTTGTACCGAAAACGATGGTGAAACCTACAAGAAACGGAAAATTATGAGCATAAAACTCAATATCATAGACTATTCACAATATATGGAAATTTACTTATACAAATATATACACACCTGCTCAAAATAATAGTTACACAATACTTTTTGAAGTAAAGCTCATGAATAAAAAGTTTTATTTAAATTTTTAAGAAAAACGCAAACGTACTTATATTTTTCAAATATTTACAAGCTTATTTAAATAAACTTCATTTAAAAAAAAAGTAAAACAAACAAATGTAGATCCAAAAACATTTCATAGCTAAAATAAACTTGCTCAAAAAAATAGGTACACTTTTAATAAGACAATTATTTTGGAAAAACAAATTATGATGAAACAGTTTTGTTGTATATTTAACATTACTCAGTTAATAGCCAGTATATCCACCATTATTTTGGATTACTTTATTTATTCGTTTGAAAGAAGGAAAGAAAGATTGACTCGCCAATTTTTGTTTTTTTAATTCTCCCCATAGGTTTTCTATTTCCACTTCAACGTTAACATTATTATCTTCAAAATATTTTTTTAACCAGTTTGGAGGTTTGTTTTGGGTCATTATCTTGCTGATATCATGACATTTTCAAGTATTTCCTTGTACTCCGACGCTGTCATTTTGTTAGTTATCCGGCATATAAGGACTTACTTCATACCAAGAAAAACATCCCCACACCATGACGTTTCCACCTCCATGCTTCACAGTTTTTTTTTGTGAATCGAACGTGAAATTACATTCCTTTTGAGCGACGCACATTTCTCTCGCAATCGTTTCCAAACAAATTTACTTTCGTTTCATCGCTCCATAAGATGTTTCTCCACTTTTTAGTTCCGTCAGGTCCTGATCAATCTAAACTTCTTGCAAACTTTAACCTCATATTTAAATTTTTTGATCGCATTAATGGAACTTTCTGGCTATATGTCCTGGTAGCTTGGCCTTTTGCAAACGCCTGCGAACTGTTTGTGTACTTACTACATTTCCAATTTCTGCTGCTATCACCTTCCACGACTTGAATCGGTCCTTTTTTCAAATAGTTACAATGTGGCGATCAAGAACTGTACTCGCTTTTTGTGGCCTTGCACGAGTTTCCCTACTAGATTTTGGTTCTAAAGCATTTTTAACAAAATTATGAGACCTTTCCATTAATTTTCCGAAGAGATTTTCCTTGCTTTCTGAGGTTTGAAACCAGCCGGGCTCCTTCAACAGTGCAATGTGACTTCCGACCCATAGGATTAAAAAATAATTTAATTTATCTGCAGCATTTTGAGCTTTATTGAAAGAAAACTTACCAAAAGCCAAAAGCTTAGTTCACTTACAGTTGTCCACAAAATAATAGGAGTGCTAATATAAACAATGTGTTCAGCTGCATAACTGTTTTAAATCACATCTAAATGACGGGGTACAATAACGGTACACTTAACGGGATGCAAGCATTAAAATACGAAACACATTTTTATTGTGATAATCTTTATTCCACTTCTGCTTTGCTAATTCACGGAGACACATGTTATT